TCCAAAGCTGAGAGAAACTCAGACTTTTGCGTAAATAAATCATGAATTCCCGAACAACCTTCAAAAGTCGGCAACTTTTGAAGGCATCCAGGAGACTTATATACACTAAACCCAACTCCCCCCATTTCCGATGTGGGATAAAAAATCCCACAGGTGCCCCGCTGCTAAGAAGTAAAGACCTCCCAAACCCCCTGAGAATGAGTTTTCTGTCTTTTTTCCAAAGTTGAGAGAAACTCAGACTTTTGCGTAAATAAACCATGAATCCCCGAATAACCTTCAAAAGCCGATAACTTTTAAAGGCGTCCAGGGGACTTATATACACTAAACCCAACCCTCCCATTTCCGATGTGAGATAGAAAATCCCTGTTTCTCCTCCTTGACCTGAGCCTGAACCTGACCCTGGCCGCCCCGGCAATCAAGAAATACATTACAATAGTGATTTTTTTTTAAATTTTTTTCTGCAACAACGACAATCTGTCTTACTTCTATTCTAAACTAATTACAAGAGAGTAGAAGCTTAAAAGAATTTGTATGAGAGTTAGAAATGAATCATTAAATTAGATAAATACAATACTACACTATTTGAATTTTAAAAAAATTGTATTTATTGTAATGCGCTGGGCGGAATGTGAACCCTCACATAATAATTGACACAACTTTTTTAGTGCCGCGTCAAATCAATCCACTTTCAATTCATGTCTTTGGGCAGAACATTTTAGTGCGTTGTTCAATCAATCCACTTTCAATCTTTCATGTCTTTGGGCAGGATTATCCTGATGTTTTACATTATTGCTGATTAGGTGATTTAAGCCAAGACTTTATTTCCTAATGTCATGTGCAATCACTTGAATTTCGTACCTTGATGAAGGATTATCCAGCAGTAATGATTTATTTGGATAGGCTATTATTTAAAATAATTACTGTAGCACTTTTTATGATGTGATGTATGTAAGATAAAAATATGATTAGAAATATAAAAAGGTGAATTAAAAAATATGTTTATAATATAAATAAAATATTATTTAAGATAAATTTTGTATCCAAATATTTCTAATTGTATCATATTGCTGATTAGGTGATGGATGAGCGAGACGAGTCAATTATTCTCGTTTTTCAATTTCATCGCTTTCATCCCGTCCTCTCAAGTTCTTTTCATCTTTCGTCCTCTCTGTTTCTTTAATTTTCTCTCCCCATCAGCCTGGCCGCCCGCCTTGGTTGAAGAACTTATCTTGGTGTTTTGAACCTTTAAAAAAGTACCTTTAATTTAAAAAGCGGAGTGCTAAAGCACAAATAAGTCCAAAAGGTCAGCAAAAAGCTGAAGCTCAACAATCATAACCATGGTTAGTGCCCTTAATTTAAAATTGGAGAAATTGTTCGTTCCTAAATTTTTTTAGTGCCAATTTAGTCCTTCACTTTTATTTTTGATTAATTTGATACTTGAACTTATTTCACAGTTCCAATTAAGGATTTTCGCGGTGACACCACTACCTAAAATTGATCTGACTCCTAATTGACTAATTAAATAGGGGTATTATCATGAGATTGTAATAAAACAAGTAAAGCGTATAAAAAAATCACCAAATAAAACTTTTAAATAGTGTAAAAAATCATCAAGTAAAACTTTTTTGAAGTTTAATATTGTGATTTTTTATACAATTTACTTGATTTATTATAATCCCATAAGTGATATTCCCAAAATACTCTTATTTAGTTGGTCAATTAAAAGCTATATTAGTTTTACGTGATGAAACAGCCATGGAAATCCTTAATTGGAACTGCAAAATAAGTTCACATTTCTTTTGTTTTTTTCTGCAACGATGAAAATCTATCCTACTTCTACTCTAAACTAATTACAAGAGAGGAGAGGTTTAAAAGAATTTGTATGAGAGTTAGAAATGAACCATCAAATTAGATAAATAAAATACTACACTCTTTAAGTTTTTAAAAAGGGATAATTTTAGAAGTCTCCGTGAGGTTTCAGACAATTTCACTGAACTTCTCTGAGAATTGAAAAATTACACATATCTTTCTTGTCATTTAAAATGATAATTTTATCCTTAAATATTTTAATGAAATTCGCTTTTTTGGTATGCTTATATTGAGAATGAGTTTTAAAATTATTTTTTCATTCTTATTCCTTTTTTAAAATTTTTCGCCAATAAAACTGTAAAACTACTACTATTGCCTCTAGATTTCTATCATAACTAAATGCCGAACTAGTGATTTTTTTTATGAATTAATTTCATATGTAATCCAATGTTTTTGCTGATTTTTGTTTTCTATTTTTTGGTATTAAAATTAACAATAAATAAAAAAGAAATGACCCCAAAATACTACTAAATTATGATAATCCCACTACTCCAAAAATTTATAAATTCTAAATGAATTATTTCAACATTTTTTTATCTTATAAATCTACATTTATAATAAAATACTATCAAAAATAACATATCATAGTAATAAAATTATTATTATAGTTGTTTATTAAATATTAGATATAAACATGAAAATTTTGACACATTTTCCTTATAATTATACGAATAATCTTATAATTATATAGGATATAAATTAAAACTCATTCCACAAGGGCATTTTTGGGCATTTATTTAAAAAATTGTTCAAGTTAATATTATTTTAAGGTTTTGTTACGAAAACTATCAAATCAAATGAGGTAAATGTAATTTTTCAAATATTAAGAGAGCTCAGTGAAATTTTCAAAAATCTCAGAGGAGGTTTGTGAAATTATCATAAAAGGAATAATTGCATATAGTACCCCTTAGGTTTAAATAATTATAGAAACCTCCCTTAGAAAATACTTTGAAGCTCACTTTGCTGATATAAGCAAAAAATCCCCATTCAAAATCCTAAAATGCCCTTATCAAAAAATTACTCTCATATTTTTATAAAGTTCTTTAGTAAATTTGTTCCTATCCGCTAAAAAAATACTGATACCTACTTGACCAACAAAACTAATTCAATAAGAATCTATGTGCGGAGGAAACTAACGGTTTTATTTACTCTAAAATCACTACTATATGGAGTAAGATTGGATTTAGGTTTTGTGGGAGTCTATGACAAGATAGAAGCTTATCACTCTTGTTTTTCTTTTTTCAAAGGATTTACTAAATTGAATTTACAATACATTAGTTCGCTTCATGGAGACTTTAAATTCAACAATGGATGAAGGTTATTTTTGCCATTTAAGACAATGAGGGAAGGTATGTGCAATTTTTTAAAATTGGAGGGTATTATCTAAAATTGTTATAAACCTCAGGGGAGGTTTGTGAAATTATCCCTTTAAAAAACAAGAAAGCACTGTACTTATTGTGATGCACTGGACGGTAGGTGAACCGTCGCATAATAATTGACGCAACTTTTTTAGTGCCCCGTTAAATCAATCCACGTTCAATCATTCATGTCTTTGGGCAGAACTTTTTTAGTGCGTTGTTCAATCAATCCACTTTCAATCAATCTTTCATGTCTTTTAGCAGAACATTTTTAGTGCGTTGTTCAATCAATCCACTTTCATTCTTTCATGTCTTTGGGCAGGATTATGTTGATGTTTTCCATTGCATCATTAAATTTGCTGATTAGCTGACTTAAGCCAATTTTTTATTGATTAAATTTTATATATATTAAAAGTATATATAGTATGATCGTTGAATTTATGATATATGTGAAAAAATTTAAATTTAAATTTAAATTTTATATAACTATCATTTATCCAATGCAACACTGACAGTGATGAAAGATTATTACCTAGTGCCATGTGCAATCCCTTGAATTTCGTACCTTGAGGAAGGATTATGTAGCAGTTTTACATTATCATATTGCTGATTAGGAGATGGATGAACGAGACAGCTCAATTATTCTCGTTTTTCAATTTCATCGCTTTCATCCATCCTCTCTAAGTTCTTTTCATCTTCGTCTCTTTCGTCCTCTCTGTTTCTTTCATTTTCTCTCCCCACCGGCTGCCGCCTTGGTTGAATAACAGATCTTGGTGTTTTGAACCTTTAAAAAAGTACCTTTAATTTAAAAAAGTGGAGTACTAAAAACACGAGTAAGTCCAAAAGGTAAGCAAAAAAGCTGGAGCTCAATAATTATCAAAATCTAACCATGGTTAGTACCCTTAATTTAAAACTTTTATTGGCTAAATGTTGCTTTCAAATTCAAAAAAATCTTTTAACGGATGCTCAGATTCTATTGCGTTTCGAAATCTATGGTTCAGTAACTTAATAATAATGCTTTTTAGTGCTTGTGTATGATCCTACTGCAGAGTTGAGTTTCATAAACAAGCTCCATAATAATAATGAGTGTGTTTGGACAGCCAATTATTTGGCCAAATATATTTGTTGACATCACCATTACAATTTCCAATACACCTTTTTATCTTCCCAATTACCTTTTTATCTCACATACATCACATCACAAAAAGTGGTACAGTAAAAATATTTCAAATAACTTACAATCCAAACACGTTTTTTCGTAGAACATTTACTGGCTTGAGGCTTTGGCACTGCTCAGTAATCCTTATCCTCATGTTCAATTAAACACTTTTTTATGTTGAAAACACTGAAAACACAATTAGCAGAACAAAGACCAATAGCTAGAATTGCACCTCTCCACTTTTTCATACAATAATTTGAAAATCTTGGGATTTTGATCCGGAAAATATTTTTACAACATGAAATTTGCATTTTGTCCATCTTTCTTCAATTCCTGCTCTTATCTTTTTTCTTTTTTTTTTTTTTCTGTCAAACTCCTGCTCTTATCAGGAATTTTGCATTTGTCCATCTTTTGACCTGCATTCACACTCGTTTGTGCATTTTTGAGAATTTTCTGTAAACTCGTTTGGTATCTATTCACACTCCTAAACAGATTCTAACAGTTGCCAAAGCATTCATTTTTCCAGAATGAAGAAATTGTTGATCGTCTTCCTTTCCACAGTCATTCTCTCTACGCTTCATTTGATACTAAATTCGGAACAACAAACCAAAGAATGCAACAATAAATATGAGACTTAGGTTTATGACCAATGCATAAAAACATCAACGTTTGATACATAAAAAGGTTTTTGATACATTTGTAGTTCGACTGAGCCAGCAACGGCATGATCGACCATGAACAAGAGGAGAGCCCTCAATTCATCACTTATTTTTTGCCAGCTTTATCATTTTTCTCCAAAAAAGACAAAAAAAAAGGAACAAGGAAAATGAAAAGTCGAGGACCTTTTGGTGTTTAGTGAAGCCTCCGTCCTCTCTTCTGAATCAGCAGTACCTAAATTAATCTTTTCCTTTCTTCAACCAATTAAACAAACCTTTCTTCTCGCTTTTCTTCATCGGGACAGTAGTCTGAGCACTCACATTTGGTGCAATGGATTGTTTTGAGATGGCTCTCTGTGGCGGTGGAATTTCCGCGCTTAAAAAAAGAACCAGAGAATAGGTAAAATGAAGAAATCTAATCCAGGGAATGTATACGTACTCCAATCAAAATAAGAATCAAGATTTAGCATTTTTTTAACACTGTTCTAGTGTTAATAGTGTTTTGCTAAAGGGTTCAGTCGATCAGTTCTCTTCTATGTTCTATTGGTTTTTGCTGGTACAACATTGTAGAATGAGCTGAAATAGATGAAAAACATAGGTATATTGCAAAAAGCCTAAGTTGCACCTAACCCATCTCTACTGTTTCCATTCCATCTATCGCTTACCTCTAGTTTGTCTAGTGTATTTTCAATAACTAGAATATTGAAATGAACGTTGCTTGAAAAGTTTTTTTTTTTCAAAAAGTTGAAAATTCTAGCTATACCTATTGATTTTCAACATGGGAATTCCTATACTTGAAGGAAGAAAAGGAAAATACCTTGGTGTCTTGTTTATGGCTCCTGCAGTTGGTAAAATATCCCCAGTTGCCTTTTCCTTGCCATCAGCACCGGAGGCCATTCCACTGAGCAAAAATATGTTCAATGTAAGTTGTCTCTCAAGCAAAGAATAATTTACATTGCAACTCATGAAACAGACTGAGGAGTAAACTGCATTGCAAAATGTTACTAATAGCCAACCAAATTGATATGTATATTCTAATTTGGAAATAGCCAACCAAACAGACTGATGAGAATTCCTATGCTCGATGGAAGAAAAAGAAAATACCTTGTTGTCTTGGTTATGGCTCCTGCAGTTGGTAAAATATCCCCAGTTGCCTTTTCCTTGCCATCAGCACCGGGGGCCATTCCACTGAGCAAAAATATGTTCAATGTAAGTTGTCTCTGAAGCAAAGAATATTTTACATTGCAACTCATGAAACAGACTGAGGAGTAAACTACATTGCAAAATGTTACCAACAGCCAACCAAATTGATATGTATATTCTTATTTGGAAATAGCTTATAAAAGATGCATATTTAGTTAAGTGATAAGAAACAAATGATTGCATTGTATAGTCTTCGGCTCTTAAAATTGGTTATTCATATGGTAAAATATCTCTTTCCAGATTTAAAGTACTTATTCTTCAGTTTTGTCCAATCCAAAGAACAATACTTGGCTCATGGAAAAGTAGGCAGAATGATAGAGTCCGTAATGACTAGCTAGAAGTACTTTAGGAAATGATTGAGAGTTAAAAGAAGCATTATTTCGATTCATATTGATTTACCTGTTAGGTTTTCCTCCACTAAAGTGCTTCTCAAGCTTGAAACCTTGGGTTTCTCTTAATTTTAGCATCTCAATTTTTGTAGCTGAGTCAAGCAATGATGGAGTGGGATCATACAGTTCAATCCTCTGGAGGCTTCTTATCTTCCCAAGGTCAGATGGGATGTCCTTTAGCCGACTGCAGTCACGGATGATAAGGCATTTCAAAGTTGGAAAATGACTCTCAGAAGATTCCCAATTCAACAAATTTGTTGCACCAATGTACAGAACTCTAAGACGACGAAAACCTCCATCTCTTGTCTCCAGCTTCCCTTCCTGGAATACAGTATCCTTCAACTTAAGCACCTGAAGAAACTGTAGATTTCCTAGAGTGGTAATGTGTTCATTTTTAAGCCTTGTATTCTTCAAAGTCAGCCTTGTTAGCTTTGTTGGAAAGCTGTCTGCTCGAAGGACATTTAAGCTGAAGTTACTACCCTCATTCACTAACTTCAAATTTTGAACACGTTGTATGTAGCTCAAGATACCTGCAAACAAACAAGATCCCCCACTAGCCTCCAACAGCCGGTCTATTTCCCCACATATTCCCAGTTTTTTCAAATTGGGAGTCCTCTGGAAGACCTCTGCTGTGCAACACTGCGATGAGATTGTACAAAGAGTTTCTAGTTTTTGACCTTGTGAGGACTGACTTTGGTGTTCTTTGCCAAGAGATGGTGGCAGAAGTATGGAAGAGTTAGTATGCAGGTGACTCAGATGCAACATCTTCCATATGTGATCTTCTACTTTAAGAATCCGAGATGAAGTTTCAAATATGACAGTTTGCAGCTTTGAAAGGTTAGACATTCCCTTTGGAAGAGTGTCGGACATAAAATACAAGGCAATGTACTTTAGAAGAACCAAGAAAAAGAGTTCAGTAGGGAAACTGGGGAAAATTATTGATTTGACATCCAACACCCTAAGCAACTTAAAGCTTTGACAAATGGATGAGACATTATTTGGACGCAAAGGTTTTTCTTCCTCGGCAAAACTCAAAAAGGACCGGACGTACTCGAGAGAATTTTGAGAGAACATATGTCCCAAAAACTCTGGCTTAATGGAGAGGCGGCGATGACTACCTGAAGCTGGGTTGACAGTTGTAGCCTCATCAACTTTTGTTTCTTGAAACAGGTGTTCTTCTACAGCCTCATCCTTGCAGAAACTGCGCAATGTATCGTGGATAAGACAAGTCTTTATCTGACCATTTGTTTTCCTTTGACCCACCATCACTAAATTCCTAGCAACCAGGTCTTCCAAATGATCCTCTGCTATATCCTCCAAACTCATATTCCCATTTGGTCTTATGAAATCCTCGGCAATCCATAATCGGAATATTTTCCAGGCTGGGATCTCAGAGCCTTCATGGAAGACGCCTAGGTAGAGAAAGCACTGCTTCAAGTAGAAAGGCAAGATATCATAACTTAGTCTTAGTAAACCCCTATGCCTTTCATCTTTAGCAACATAATCATCAACCCCATTTGACACTTTTTCCCACAAGTGTATACTATCTGGCTGACGTTGTAGAATTCCACCAATTACCACTATTGACAGCGGCAATCCGTCACATTTTTTGGCAATATTGGATACATAGTCCTCCAGGTCCGGATCCAAGTCACAGCTTTTCAAACCAGCTTTCCTCAAGAGTAGCTCCTTACTCTGCTTAGAAGTTAGACAAAACGGTTCATGATGAAATCCAGAAGGATTAGCACAACGAGCTACGTCATACATTCGACTAGTAATTAAAACCACACTGCCTTTCTGTTTGGGGAAAGCACCCTGGATTTCTTCCCATGCTTCTTTGATCCAGATATCATCCAACACGATCAAGTATGTCCTTTTTTTCAACTCCTCTTCAACTTTTTTAGTTAACTGATCATCTTCCATGTCCTTAATTTCCTGCGTGATATCAATAAAAGCACGCAGAATGTCTTGGAATACTTTAGTTTTGCTGTAATCTTGAGAAACTTTGACAAATGCACGATCAGGGAAACTAACATGAATTCTGGGATCTTTCAAGACCTTTTTAGCTAGTGTAGTCTTTCCAAGACCAAACATACCAATGATGGAGACTACATTCAGCTGCTCTGGATCAAACTTTTCAGATTCTTTCTTCAGAAGGTCTATTACTATATTGGTGTCAGTATCCAAGCCAACTACATTGGCTTCGCCTGCAGAGGGATCCTGTTGATACATTTACAATCAAATTAGAATGACAGAGGCAGTATCAAATTAAAGTACATATATATGTGCACAAGTCAATGATAAAATGGTAAAGAAATACAGAAAGGACAAAGCTAAATGAACTTGAACATGCAAAACTGGCTTGTTCTACTCGACAAGAGACATGTTCTGAAGAACTTTGAGTGGTAGCATGAATAGAAAGGTAGGTTCCAATTTTATGTGTAGTTGGTGTCTTGGTATTGGTAAGCACAAGAAATTAGCAACCATATTAGCAGTTTGACCAAAAAAAGTGAATGCATTAATTTCTAAATAGTTAAGACAATTTATGAATCTTAAAAATTATGAGCGTTACCAGAAATTAGGTTGACCAAAACAATTCACAACATATCTCATAAAAAGTTTTACTTTCCCAATAGTTCTCATATTGGATTATTTTCTCATTTATGCCATGTGCACCTGTATCAGTACATCTTTCTTCCAATTGAACACGAGTTTTCAGCTTCTTATTCATAAAACTCTTCTTGGTCAAACCATCCATAGAAGTGCAAAATAGATCTGGTTTACTTTTAACTTCAATTCATTTAGAATCAGCATTTTTCTGATAATTCCCAAAAAGTAAATTTAATGTTTGTAACATATCGGTTTTCTGTTCGCTAACTTTTGCATAAGGTACCTTACAGACTTTAAGCCCAGAGAGCGATGGTGGAGCCAGAATTACTTTTCAGGATTCAAAGATTAGCAATAGATATTTCTTAACTTTCCAAATAATTAATGCTCACAATATTTAAACAAATTCACATAAGATGACACAACTACTGGTAATTCATGTACTTTCTGCAAATCAGAGAGGAAAAGATTTTCAAGAAATCATAGTTAAAACTTAGAATGTTCATTCTTGGGCTTGGATATAGTGTAGATCTCCCCTTGCCCAAGGAAAAAGAAGAAATATCAGTATCATGAACGTGACAGCAAGGTGATATTATGCATATATATTACCACTTTCTTCTTTGGAGGTCCAACATACATGTTGTCAACTATGGCAGCACCTTGGGCAGCCGGCACCGATATTAGTTTATCATCCTTCACCATTTGGTTAAGCTTCTCTATGCCTTTTCCCAGCTTGTGAAGGCTCCTAATTCCAGCTTTTTGCAGCAAAACAGAATAAATATACGTCTCTACAATATCTTCGGCTTCAAGCACTTGATGCCTTATCTCGTCAGTTATGCTCTTGAGAAAGGCATTCTGACGATAACGCTCCTTGGTGTATTCCTTGAGAAACCCATTAAGCGTGTTAATGGATAACCTTAGCTCCTCAGAGTTACCCTCTGCTTCCGTAATCAAACGATAGTGGTACTGAATCTGCTCCTTGAGATTTGTCAAAATGAATTCCCAAACTGAGTCTGGAACATTTCCCATCTCTGAAAATCACTTACTCTGCAGGGATTTCCTGGGTGTTACATGACTTCGGAAATTAAGCTACATGTACTAGGATGGATGATTGAAACTCGAAACTGGAAATGGATGTGGCAGTAATCAGGGTTGCCGGGTTGGCCTGGGTAGCACTAGTGACTAGAGGTTGACTGACCCCGCCCACCACTATGTAAGAAGTCATTCTATAATCTTTTCCAGAGAATCTTTTTTTTTTCCCTTTTTACAAACTGCAACCCCTGTTCTGTTTTTTGGGGGTTCACTAGTTGAACAGACGGTGATAGAAGACCATAAAATAATATACTTACGAGAAAATTGTTAAAAATGTTCCACACATTTTGTAAAAATAAATTTTTTTGTGCTTTACTTTTAAAATGTTAACTTTTTTATTTAATTTTGGTTCTAACCTAAGTTTTCGATCATTTTGTAGTTTAAAATTATCACATGACCTACATACAGTCTTGTTTTATGCACAAAAAAATTAGATCCCATTTTTTTAGTGATAAAAATGAATATGAATTGGGTCAGATTTCATTTTTTAGGAGAAAAAATGAATATGATTTGGGGTTAAATTCTATTTTTTAGGGATAAAAATGAATATGATCGGGTCATTTGCTTAACTCCAAATGGGATCTAACCTTTTTGTTCTTAAAAAAATAAACATATGTGATTCACAGGGTAGATTCAGGGTAAAAAATGACCAAAACTCTAGGTCAGAATCAAATTTTACATATCTAATTTTGTAAGGGACGTATTTTGAAAGTGAAAGACGAAAAAATTTATTTAACAAAATATGAGAGATATTTTAAACTATTTTTCCTATACTAATTGTATCGGTGGTTGAATCAAGCGACCAATTCTCAAGATTTTACTTGATAGTAGAACCGATGGGTCATTCACTAGTCAATAAACCGCATCCTAATATGAGAATTTGTACCAAATTCATGTACTTGTACAAGTTGTAATTTGATGCTTACATGCATATAATAGTTTTTACATTGTTCATAAGCATTGTCACGTGCAATTCTCCTTGCCCAAACCCTATCTTTTTTATTCTTTTTTTTTTTTTTAAATTCGGAAGGATGAGATTTGAAAAGCAGAAAGAGAAAAGGGAGATTTGAATACAAAATCTCTAAATTTTAAGATCTCAACTTAAACCATTAAATTAAAACCCCAAACCCTATCTTATGTTCATCGATTCAATTGCCTTTGAGGTAAATGTAAATTTAAGTACTCTCACATTATGCTTACTTTAGGCTTTGAGTTCTTTTTTTTTTTTTTTTAAGTTTATTCCAAGTTAATCCACCATATTTTACGCATTCAACAAATTCAAGTTTTTGTTTTTTTTTTTTTTGGCTCTTCTCAAAAAGTCTTCCTCTTAGGGAGAGAAACTATTCTCCAATCGATTCCATTTTCACTTTGTTTTCTATGATAAAGTATCTTCTAAGATTTCCTAGTAAGAATTTTCTATTTCTCATATGGATTCCTAATGAAAATTTTCTACTCTCCTAGGAGTTCAAAGTGAGATTATTGTGTAGCTTTTTTTATTTTATTATTAGATTTGAATTTATTTTAGATTTGGTTTATTGAATTTTTTTGGATCTTGGGTTTGTCTTGAAAATTTTCATTATCATTATTGGATTTAAAATAGTTGATTAGCAAATGTAATGATTGAAATGCGATTTATCTTATAAGATAACATTTCAAAATTCTTTGTATTGTTCAAATTTATTTGTAATTTTTTAGATCTTTGTATCTATTAAATTACAAATTTGTTATTTCTAGTGCATGTTTGTCTTGATATTAGTCTAAATGTCTGTGATAAAAATCAAATCATGCTAGATAATTTTCAGTAAATTTGCTAATGAAATTTGCTTTTTTATCAAAAGAAAGAAAAAAAGAAATTTAATCCACCAAGTCATAGTGTTTTTCTCTTTCGAGTTTTTCTTTGATAAAACAATAGCCAATATTATGAATGAATTAGTTGAAAATCGTCCAACACGATTTGTTTGACTAAAAAAGTTGCACTAATAGCAAAATATACATCAAATATGTCACAGATATATTTAATCTGAAAATGCATTAGATTTATCAGAGTTACAAAATAAGAAAGATTACCTTGTGAGTGACAAACCATCAAATTTGACTAATTCTACAACCTGCTCCATAAATATTTGTGCATGTCTATTCCATTAGATCTACTGTTCAACTGGTTCAATTTCAAAACTAATACTAAGATCTAACAAGAAAACACAAAGAATTTCAGAACTTACATATAGATCTAAAAAAACTCTTAGATTTGACAAAAATAATAAAAATCTAAATAAATCTCTCACAAAAATAGCCTAGAAAAGAAGAAAAAAAACTCTCTTTAGTAAATAGTAAATACTAGGAGAGAGAAAACTTTCACTTTATTGATGATATCTGAAATATACGACCCTTGGGAGAACATATTTACCTCTCCAATGTGTGACAACAGTCACCACTACGATCATAAAAATTTCGTTTGTAATGTCTATTTTGAAAAATATTTGAATATTATGATATTTTTACCCTTGTCCTTGCTCTTCATATTTTTTAAATTACTAAGATGTGATACACCTTAGGTAGATAAATCTGGAGCCGGTTCTTCCTACCAATCCAGCCTCCCCCAAGTATATGTTCACTAAACTAATTAGTTTTAAGTTTCTTCTCATGCTGACTTCGAATTTTGTGTTGCATATGCACTTATACATTGGCATTGCCTAAATATGAGCGATTTTATTTATTATATTTCATGTGATGCCAATCCAGAAGACATTTGAGTGTGAAAGATCCATAATTAATAATACCATATTAGTTGCTTTCCTAATCGTGCACGTGAGAAAGGGGTAGGAGACAAATAATAACCAAATTTCTAACTATGATTAGCCTAATCACTTAATGGTTAGTTTGGACTTTGTCCACGCAAAAAAAAAAAAAAAAGAAACCAAGAAATATGATTTTAAAAAAATTGCTACCTTCTAGCTGGCTAAACAACTTGCAGGGTAACATGTGAAATGAACCCTTTGATATTTAACCTTTAGCAATTACCGGCGAATTTTTAAGAATATTGCTAAAATAAAAAACTATCAAAAAATTGGTGAGCTCTGGGAGTTTGTTCCCATTTTAGGGTCGCCGCATTTACGGTATGAGGCAACCAATAAAATTAGAATTAATTTTTTTAATTTTTGATTGCTTTAGTTTTCTATAATTTCTACCGCTTTTTTTTCCCAAGCTTTCACTGCTCATCTCCCGACACCGACATGGACATGATAGGACGGATAGGACGGACATGACAGCTACAACTAAAATGTACCAATTTCGTCAATCTTCTTTCTGATTTAAGCTTAGTGGCATTCAGTTTTTAAAAAAAAAAAAAAAATTTTCCTGACACCACAAATTTTGCGGCGTCAACTTTTTTTTCCCCTAATTTGTAGTGTCAATTTTTTTTCCTGACGCCACAAATTTGATTTGCGGCGTCAATTTTTTTTTTTGAAACTCTCGTTTTATTATCAATTAAGTTTATATGCTAATTATTACATTCTATAAATATTGTTTAATGTTACATTATTTATCATTATTCAAGTTAGCATTAACATTAAAAATTTAAAAACTATAACTTAGGCAAATTTTAGAGTGTTTTTAATAGCATTGATTATCATCTAAATTTATAAAATTAACATAATTCTAATATTGTATATTAAATTTTTGACAATTCTGATTTATAATAGGATTTTAGTAATACGAATTAGGGATTTTGATTTTAAAATTAGCGTTAAAGGGTTCATGTTTATATTAAGGGTTACACTGTGTGGGTTTGGAAATTAGGGTTTCATATTAGGTAAAATGTTAAACCCTAAACGCTTATTAAGCCTAATTTATTATTATTTAAGTTTCTATACATATTATTACATTCCATAAATATTGTTCAATGCTACATTATTTATCATTAATTAAATTAACATTAGAGTTAAAAAATTTTAAAAATATGACTTAAGCAAATTTTATTAGTAATTTAATAGCATACTTAATTATCATCTAAATTTATAAAATTACCATTATTCTAATATCATATATTAAATTTTGGACAACTCTAGTTTATAGTAGAATTTTAGTAATACGATCTAAGAGTTTTAATTTTAAAATTAGGGTTACAGAGTTACACTGTGATGGTTTGGAAATTAGGATTTCATGTAAAATGTTAAACCCTAAATCCTAATTAAGCCTAATTAAGGTTACGTTCTACGGGGAAAAAAAAACTTCGTCGCAGTTACCTTTTATTAAAGTTACGTCTTATTAAAAAGGAAAAAAAAGAGAATATATCGCCACTCATCTCGTGAGCGGCGATGCATAAAAGACAAAATAAAATGAGCAGCGATCAAATGTTCCAATTCCTTTGCCGCTGCCGCTCATTTCATGAGCGGCGAAGCCTTTACGAAAATTAAAAAAAATACAAAACTAAAGCAACCCAAAATAAATGAAAATTAAAAGTATTTTTATTAGAAACCTCACATCTCAGATGTGGCGACCTCTTATTCCGAGACCCGCCCTCAAACAACAACAATTTTCTGACAATTTTTAATTTTGACGATATTCCAAGAAATTTGCCGCAATTACCATATTTAATTTGAGATGTATATAGTCTTGTTTTAATTTTTTTTTTTTAATGGTGATTGATCTCAACTCATAAATATAAGAGGATGTAGCCAGCGTTTTGATTCAACTCCACACACACACACAGATGCATATACTTGCACTCTATTAAATGTGGGAGTGTCTGAATCAGGTGAGTTAGATTTTTTGATATGTTTTGGAGGAATCAGAAAATTTACTTGGAGGAGATGAATGCTGACATACCTAAACCTAATGTATCTAACATAAAAACAAATTTTCAGGTTTTTACAAGGGCAAAAGTTTACATTTTTTACCAAGTTCAAAGACTTTTGTAAGTTAGTACTCAACCTTTAATCCACAGGAAATCATAAAAGCCGGCAACTCTTGAGGTTCCTGAGGAGACTTAAACACTAACCCCAAACCCCCCCCCCCCCAACAGTCGATGTGGGACAAACCTAAGCAGACGAGCTGCTGCTAGACCTTAACTAAGAATCCACTCGTTCGGACAGTTTGTCTTTTTTACCAAGTCCAAAGACTTTTGTAAGTTAGTACTCAACCCTTAATCCAC